TGTCTCTTCTCTCAGAGATGGGGTCAGGAGCACATGCCACCAACCCTGGCCTGTTATATGGGGACTGGAGATCCAAACTCAGGTTCTCCTGATTGTGACGCAAGCACTTTGCCCACCAAACCACCTCCCCAGGCTCGGCTCAATAATCTTAAATTACTATACATTAATTGTCCAACATGTATCATGAGGTTTTCCTATATATCTAGAATGCACTCGATGGTGTTCATCCCTCGTTCTCCTCTCTTTCTTTCTTCTCCTCAAACTGTCTCTCTTCTACTTTAATGCCTTTGGAAAAAAAAAAACTGCATTTTATACATAAGAGAAAATAGGTGATACTTGCCTTCCTGAGTCTGATTTACAGGGATAAGCACGATCATCTTCCTGCAAATGGTGTAACTCCTCTCTCCATGGTGATTTGAGTATGACACCTCTCCTCCATTCACTGATCCGTTGATGGGCACCTGGGCTGAGTCTATGACTCGACTGTTGTGCACAGTGCCATCATAAACACGGATGTGCAGACATTTTTGCTTTATGTGGACTTTGCTTCCAGAAATAGGGTGGCTGAATCATATGGAAATTATTTTATGTTGATCTCTAGAGTAACTGAACTAGTTACATTCTTCCTATAATAGTATGTTTCTTTAAAAATGTTTTTGGGGCATTTTTTCACTAATATTTACGTGTGTAGATATTTTTGCCTGCATATATGTTTGTGCGTCATCTGTGTGTAGTGCCTAGAGACTAGAAGAGGATGTTGGAGCCCCTGGAGTTAGGTAGTTGTAAGGTGTTTTATAAGGGTGCTGAGAATTGAACTTGGGTCTTCTGGATGAGCAGTTAAATACTCTTCACCATTGGGCCATTGTCTCCTGCCCCTTGTCCATTTTCTTAACAACAGCTATTCTGACTGGGGTGATAAGGAATCTCAATGTACTTTTGATTTTCGTTTCTAACAGCTAACGGTGACTATGAACTTTTTTTTTTTTATGACTTTAACAGCCATTTATTTGAACTTCATTTAAAAATTCTGTTGAATTTCTTTGATTGATTACATTATTTGTTCTTCAGGCATTTAATATTTTTAGTTCTTTAGAGTCTAGATATTAATTCCCTGTTAGATGAATAGTCAAGAAAAATGCAAAACATTTTATTCTTCAGGCTCTGACTCTAGTAGTCAGTCGATGGCTTTGCTGTGCAGCTTTTTAACTCGACACAATATCATCTGTCAATTCCTTAGGTTTGTTTGCTTATTTATTTATTATCTTTAGAAAAAGTCTCACCATGTAACTCCACCAGGCCTGGAACTCACTCTGTAGACCAGGCTGGCCTCAAACTCAGAGATCCACCTACCTCTGCCTCATGAGTTCTGGGATTAAAAGTATGCACCTGGCCTTTTAAAAAAATGTTTCCTCTATTTGGGGGTCACTGTGGGGGTGACCCACAAATATTGTATTTCCTGGTTATGGAAACATGTGTTCTTAATTGCCATTTGAAGATGGCAACACCCAGCTGGCAGGGTAGGTAAATGTCATTACCTCACCTGCCTTTAAGAGTCAGGGGAGCTGGTATCCTTCCTCAGCCTAGTAGTTGAGTAAGAAATGTGGCTTTTTGCATAGTAAAGAGTTGGCTGCCAGAGCTAGGGCAGAGACTTCCAGGCAGAGGAGAGGCAGCGAGACCTGGACAGCCTCAGGAGACTGACTGTCGCCGGAAAGCAGGCAGTGAGAATCACGTGGAGAGAGAGAGAGAGGCAGCGGCAGAGAAGTCCGGTCACTTAGTAGCTAGCTGAGAGACTGCCCCATCAAAAGGCCAACGGCCTTAATCTATAGAGAGGTCTCCATGTCTCTATTAATAAACCTCAGTTGGGACCTGCACCAACCCCACAAAAGGCCACTCACGCAATTGCACAAGTGTGGAGGTCAGAGGACTCAGTTTCACTCTTCCTAGTATGTGGGCCCTGGGTCATGAGACTTACTAGCAACTAACCACTTAGTAGCAGTTAGTTTTTTGATAACTTGACAAGAGCAAGAGTCACACAGCGAAAGAGAACCTCAACTGAAGAGTTGTCTCCATCAGCTTATCTTGTGAGGAAGTCTGTGTAGCATTTTCTTGGTTCATAACTGATGTGGGAGGGGCCGGCTCACTGTGGGCGGAGCAGCCCCTCAGCAGTGGTACTGGGATCTGTAAAAAAGCAGGCTGAGCAAATCACAGGAAGCAAGCCTTTCAAGAGCCCCCCTCCCTTGGTGGTCTCTGCTGCTGTTCCTGTCTTGCTCTCCCTTGGCAACGGAGCATGACCTGAAGATTTTAGGTTCCTCGAATCGTCTGTAGTCACGGTGTTTATCTCAGCATGGTCCTGGTCAAGGCTGCTTTTGCAACTCAAGGTCATTTGTGCATCTGTGTGCATTTTATAATTATTTTTCTATTTCTGTGAATGGGAATTACATTGAATCGATAAGCTCTTCTGTAATATGGCTTCTTTTACAATCTTAATTCTGCCAGTTCATGAACATGAGAGAACTTTACACCTTTCTAGTATTTTCTTTCATTTTTTGGTGGTTTTAGTGCAGAAGTCTTTAACATCTCCAGCAGGTTTATTCCTAGGTTTTGGATTGGTTATTTTGAGGTTGTAATGAACAAATGTCATCCTGACTTCTTTTTCAATCAGCTAATCAATGATATATGGAAAATTTGGTGAATTTAGGACCAGCAAGATAGCTCAGCCTGTTCCTTTCTACCTAAAGAAGAAATTTCCTTTATCTCTGGAGTAAAAATACATGGCTACCTGTGGTACCTGTTAGCATAGCTCATGCTGGCTTCCAAGCTTCTTTAGGTATCAGAAGTACCTGTTATACATTCCAAAGTCCATGCTACCTTCCTAGGCTTCTGACCTCCTCTCCTAACCTAACCTCCCTCTAGCTCATGGGCTTCCCTTTCTCCAGCTACAAATTCTCCTTATAATTCTGCTGTTCTTTCTATTCTCTCTCTCATCCTCCCTCCCTCCCTCCCTTTCTGTTCCTGCTTCTCTCCCTATGTTTTCTTTATTCTCTGTCCCCTGTTATTCCTCCCTCTCACAAAGACAGCCCTGGCCATGTTCATTCTACTTCTTTCTGTCTCTGACCTAGATTTTTCTAGATGTCTGTGGCTGTTCTTTCTCACATCTACAATAAAAGCCTTCCCCTTAACCATACCACGAAGTGGTCCAGTCATCAGTTTATACAAATCCACATAGTAGGAGAGAACTGATTCCCACGGGTTTTCCTCTGACTTCTCTATGTGGGCTGTGGCACACCCCACACACATACATACATACATGTAGTTGTGTACACACACAATTCAATAAATAAAAAATGTAATTTAAAACAGCAAGGTAAGTGTGAGTATGGTGGCTTGCCCCTCTAGTCCCAACACTTGAGGGATAGAGGCAGGAGGATCAGGAGTTCAAAGTCATTCTAACCTACATAGTGAGTTCAAGGCCAACCTGGACTATATGAGACTTTTTCTTGGGAAAAAAAAAATAATGAGACAAAATGGTTAGGCAGAGGCTGTAGTGGGGGTGGGGGCAGGGGAGGAGCGCTTACCAGATGGGGAAGCCAGGCTGTATAATCCAGGTGCTGGCCAGAATCAGGGTTTCTACTTATGAGGTATAGGACTTGAGGCAAGTTGCTTTGTCTTTATGTGACTCAATTTTCTCTGTAAAATGGGGAACAATCGGTACCTAACTAAATACTGTTAAACAAAATGAGTGAGCGCACACAAGATTTCTCAGCACAGGGACTGGGGAGATGGTATGGCAGCTAGGACCACTAGGTCCTCTTCTGGGGAGCATGATTTAGTTCCTAGCACCCATGCCAAGTGGCTCATAACCACCTGTAACTCCAGCTCCAAAGGATCCGATGCCCTCTTCTGACTCCCTTGAGCCAATGCTCACGTATTCATCACACACACACACACACACACACACGCACACATACATATACATATAGGCACACACGCACTCATGTGATTAAAAATATCTTTAAAAAGTGTCTCCACACAGGTCCATCGCACCCAGCCAATCAGGAACTGCTCACTGGAATGACTCCAGAGGCAGCAGGGACCTGAGTCCATGGGACCCAAGTGTGGTGCAGTCTGCAATGGCCCTGTAAGGCCTGGGGCCAGGACTTCAGCATCGGATTTCTCAACAAAACAAAACAACACCTAAGGCCATTGGTCAACAGTTTTCACCCCACCCTAAACAAACAAACAAACAAACAAACAACAAAAAAAAAAACCTCTTCCCATTTAAAAGTCCCATGCCACACTTATTTGGAAATTTTATTCTTTTTATTGCAAATCTCTGGTAAAGGAAAAGACAGGGTAGCTGATTCTCCTTTAAACTTTGGCGAGAAGAACACTCCATTGTCTTCGCTGGCTGGCTGGCTGGCCTCCCAGCTGCACACCAAAACACTGGGGGCAGGGCCTAGGGGTGTGACACACACTGGTGACTGCCCTCCAGATGCTCTGAAAGAATTGTTCTGGAGGCTGCTCAGCATCAGTCGCTTGTTAAACGCCCCCACAGGACCCCAAGCAGCCAGGGTGGAGAGTCCCTGCCTCGGCTCCTCATCTCACACGTTGGGCAACATCTTGAGCACCAGCAGCAGCTGCGTCACCTGCTAATCCAGAGTCAGCCGGTGTCCCCGCCCCCCACTTCCCAGGTGTCGTAAGTGCTCACCCTTCCCCCATAGAGTCCCCAGAGGGGAGACACACTGAGGGGGCTCGGCCCTGTCCTGTGGTGTGTGCTTAATCACTCCGTGAAGCAAGACCAACCTAGCGCTAAGGGGGGAAAGGAAAGCACTTTCTAATCACAGAACACCAGTGACTTCTCCTAGGTGGAAAGGACTCCCGACCTAGGGATGAAAACATTTGTGGAGAAGTGAAGAAATGCATGATGGGTACACAGTCCTCACATAACCTCTCATGAGTCCGAATTAAAACCAAAGCTGCCGAGCTACGGAGAGGGAAACGGTAAGTTCTTGAGCAGCATACTTTACATGGGTCAACAGTAAGAGCCAGTTAGGATCTCGTTGTCATTTATTCTAGAAAGAGAAAACGCTTTTTATTTTCCTGAGTCCTTGCGAATGAGAGAGGAGAGGAAAAGACAGGGTGTTGTTTTGGGAACCGGTAAGTGCTCCTGCTCTCTCTCCTGGGGTACCCTCGCATGGCAACACAGGGTGTCTTCGGTCAAGATGACACAAGCGCAGGCGAGCACACAGCACAGGCCCAAGTCGTCAATGACTCAAACATGGCGACTGAAAACACGACATCTACAAAGGTGCCGGGACGCAAGTCCTGTCACGGTATTGTGAATGCAGTATCGGTCTGACTCGGTCCATACAAAGGTGGCTGTTCCATGAATGATGCTGAACTCGGGCCATCGAGACAATGATAAAATCGTTGGGATGTTTAAAAAATACATAGGATCCCAGTTTTACATCCCAACCCTGATGTGTTTATCACACTTTCTATTTTGTTGGTAATTTAAAAAAAAAAAAAAAACAAAAAACAAAAACCAGGGGACAGTACAGCGATGTGATAGAAACCAAGGCACGGATATACAGGTACAACAAATGTCTATAAACCTTAGCACTTAGTGCCTGTTTAGGGAACATTTAGGTAAATCGTGAAGTTAGAAAAAGTCTCACATTCATTACAGTTAATAAACAATTAGCTATGCAGTGAACAGACTGTCTAGCCACCATCACATTATTAAATATATGGCTATCGCTACACAGGCTGTGAAGGGCTCCAAAAATAGCTTTAAATATTAAAAGCTGGTACCTCTGGGTGGATATAAATATTGTGCCGTTTGGGATCTAGATAAATGTCTTAAGTTTCCACTTAATTTGTAATCTGTATAGCAATTATCAATTTTAAAAAGCTGTTTTTGTTATATAAATGGCAGGGTTTTCCACCCCTAGTGTTAAACCTCTTCTCTACAAAAGACAGATGATTTACAAAAAAAATAACCCAACATAAAAAAAAAAATGCATAGACAACAGTGATACAATCCGGATGTGGGCGTAAAGCTGAACTCTAATCTACCAGGGCATTTTCTGAATGTAGGGTGAGGAGCAATACATTCCCGGAGCAACTCATTCATTTCTTAATTAAAAAGAAAAATCACCATGGCAGGTTTGTTTGTTTTGGTTTTGGTTTTTGGTTTTGTTTTTGTTTTTGTTTTGTTTTGTTTTGTTTTTTCCCAAAATAGTAGTCTTGGCTAGAGCATCAAGCATTGAAAATAAATTCTTTTCATTCATAAAAGCCTTTCAAAAATCTGAGGAGATAGGGTCCAACTGCACTTAGAGAGGGAAATAAAGCTGTAAAAATTGTATTTAAGATCTTTAAAGAAAGGGTGTTTTCAAGACCAAAGGTAAACATTTAGACTCATGAGAGCACGTTTCCTGGCACATGCACACCCTTGGATGGGATCCAGACCGCAGCCGCGGTCAGGCCGCCGGGATTGGGCTCCTCGTGCCGCAGGCAGGCTTTCTCCTGTCAGGTCCTTGTCCCGGCCCTCCTCACATGGAAGTCTCCGGCTTCTGCATCTGCTGAATCTGCTTCTGCAGCTGGTCCCTGTCCAGCTTCATCTTGGCCTCCAGCACTTGTCTGAGGGATCCTATGCTCTCGTAGATGGCTGTAAACCCTGAAGGAGGAGGCAAACGTCACAGGCATTAACAGTTAACAAGCAGCGTCCCGCCAGATCCCGCAGTGACAGCAACGGTTGGTTCTGACAAACGCTGAAACTCCAGGGGTCAGCGCTGCATGGAGACCTTCATGAAAGCTGCTTTTTCATTGCAAAGGGGTCTAGTGAAGTCAGAGATATGGTAGATGCAGCTTTGCCCGGTTACCAAAGCCCATGCCACTGTCACCGGGAGAAATCACACCATGTAGCTGCTGATCAAATGGCCAGAGCAGGGCGCCCATCCCTCCGGCAGCGTCTCTGTATCAGAAGGAAGCAACTGAACCCCAACGGAGGGGCTTTCTGCAAAGCACTGCCCTGTAGTCTAAAGATACCAGGTCAGAAGTTTCTGGGGATCAAGAGAGCACCGGGCGCTTCGGCCTCCTGCTTCTACGGCAGTGGTCCCCAACTTTCCTAATGCTGCGACCCTTTAACACAGATCCTCAGATTGTGGTGACTCCCCAAACATAAAATTATTTTACTGCTGCCACTCCGTAACTGTAATTTTGCTAGTGTTATGAATCGTGATGTAAATCTCTGATATGCAATCTCTAAAGCGGTGGTGGCCCTACAGGTTGTCAGAACGCTACAGCAAGATCCTCCAGCCCAGTGGCCTCAAAGGGCAGGGCAGGGCTTTCGGCTCCAGTGGTCTTCGGGTCACCTGAGAGACTGGAGTTTTGTTTCCAGCCATCTCTACGGTTTTTTTTGTTGTTGTTGTTGTTTTTTGTTGTTTTGTTTTTTGTTTTTGTTTTTTTTGTTTTTTTGTTTTTTTTGTTTTTTGTTTTTTGTGAGTGAAAAGTTCTGATTTCTGAAGCTCCAGTCCTCACTGCAAGACCTGAAGTCTACACTGCTGTGCTCTAAGACATTACCCTGGGCCTGTCACCCTAAACAGGGACCCTAGAGAGAAGACAGACTTCACTGAGAAAAACGCTAGGCTCAGCCAGGCATGGTGGCATATGCCTACATTCCAGAACTTGGAGGACTTAGGCCAGAGGACTGTGAGCTTGAGGCCGGCCTCTTTCACCTACACAGCTAGACTCCACCTCAGAAACAAGACAGCACTGCAGAGGAATTGATCCAGATGGACAAGACTAAGGAAATGAACATAAGAGCTGAGGACTGTGTGCAGTCCTAGCTGAGAATTCCAACAGTGTGAAGGCCTGGGGATGTGGCTCAGGGGGTAGGGTGCTCACCCAGCATGCGTGAAGTCCCAGGTTCCATTCTGACCAGGCTTGGTCTCTTACACTTGTGATGCTAGCACTCAAGAGTCGGAGGCGGGAGAACCTAAAATGCAGGGCTATCCTCGGCTCCCTACAGAGTCTGAGGCCAGCCTGGACCAAAGGCATTGTTAAAAAAAAGAAAGACAGAGGGGGAGGAAGGGGCAAGATGTATAAGAAAAGGTGTTCAATATCATTATTAGAAAACACAGACACAGGTTGCACTGAGGTGCCGCTCACACTCTTAGGAAGGCTCTGGGACGGAGGAGACTAACCAGTGCTGAGGGTGTGGAGGGGGGAGTCCTGATGACTGTTGGAAAGTAAACACAGCGTAGGCAAGGCCCGTTGTGGTGGTTTAGGCTTTAATCCCAGCACTTGGGAGGAAGAATTCTCCCAAGTAATAGAAGTTTTGGTTTCTTTAAAAACTCCGTGATGTTACGTGAATATTTTGTTTTGTTTTAATCCCAAGTGTGGGATTTTAGTTTGGGCTTTAGTTTGTCCACAGCTGATAATTGCCTCCTTCGGGGTGTGGTCTTTGCCAGCTGGTAATGGCCTGCCTCCTGCCGCATGGGGAGGGGTGTGGTCTACGACTCTGAGGGATATAACTTTGCAAGCCCGGAAAGAGAGGTGGTGTGTGGCAGTTTAGAGAGACCAGAGACTGATGGCCTGTGGCAGTTTGGAGCAAACAGATGGAGAGAAACGTCTGAATGCAGCAGCTTGGAGGAGATGCCTGTTGCCTTTGCTATTGAAGGAGATTGGTAAGGCCCCAAAAGAACTCATGGACCCTAAATAGCCAGGGGAAGTAAAGGGGTCTGTACCCCGTCTCCCCACTAACCTTCTCTCTCCTGCCTAGGGATGGGGGATTAGAAGAGAGAGGATTTAAGGAACCCCCAAAAAAGCAGAGTTTTAAAAAAATGAGCACTACACCAGCCTGGTCTATATAGTGGATTTCAGGCCAGCCAAGGCTACATACATATGTACATACGTACATACATACATACAAAAAAATGTCATAGCAGGAGTGGAAAGAGTAAAGAAACCCCTAAAGACGGAAGCATCCTATGACCCAGAAATGCCATTACTGTACACACTCAAGAATGAAACTACCACCCTGTAAAGAGACCCTCGTTCTGGTGATCCTTTTCTTTGGGGTGGAGGGGGTGGTTCCAAGACAGGGTTTCTCTGTGTAATAGTCCTGGCTGGGCTGGAATTCACAGAGCTCCACCTGCCTCTGTCTCCAGGGTGCTAAGATTAAAAGCATGCACCGCCATGCCTGCCAGTATTTTCTTTTTGAGACAGGGTCTCACTATGTAGCTCTGGCTATCCTGGGATTGATAGTGTATGCCACCATGCCTGGAAAAAAAAAAAAAAAAATATATATATATATATATATATATATATATATATATATATATATAGTCACCTATACACAGACATGCCTATGCATCTGTGTGTGCATCCCATGCAGGCAGTGTCCGTAGAATCCAGAAGAGGGTATCAGGTCCCCTGGAACTGGAATTACAGATGGTTTTGAGCAGCTATGTAAATGCTGAAAACTGAACCCAAGTTCTCTCCTTGAGCAGCAAGTGCTTTTAGCTGCTGAGCCCTCTCTCCAGCCCTGGCACTCTGATGTTTATTGCTCCCTATAACAGAGACACGGAGACAACCTACAGTGTCTGTCAAGAGATGAGAATAGACAGACAGTGTGTGCCATCAAGAGTATTCAGCCTTACAAAAGCAAATCCTGCCATTTGCCACCACACTGTGGAGGCTAGAGAACACTGCTAAATGAGAGAAGACACACAGAAAAAGAAAAACAAACACTGCATGCTTTCATAAGATGACTCAAAAGGAAAAGAAATTAAATATATAAAAGCAGAATAAAATAACCGATAACCAGAGGCATGACGTGGATAGTTGGGGAGGAAGGAGACTCAGGTCAAAGGGTTTGAAAAGCAAAAAAAGCCAGGCAGTGGTGGTGCACGCCTTTAACCCCAGCACTCAGGAGGCAGAGGCAGGTGGATTTCTATGTGTAGCCTGGTCTACATAGCAAAATCCTGAACAGCCAGGGCTGTTACACAGAGAAATCCTGTCTTGAAAAACAAAACAAAACGAAAAAAGTCTAATATATTGTATATGGGGTTTTGATGAAAGAGTTGGACTCAAGGTACATATGAATACACATATGCCATACACATATACGCATACATATACATATACAATACACATACACACATACTACACACACAGACATACCCACCACACACAAACACACACACACACCCATAGAGATGAGGGGTAGGTTAATTTGTGTGAACATAGCAACCATTTTGTTACACATATCAAAACATAAACTTTAAACGTACAAATAATCTTTCTTTAGTTTAAAGAACGTGTGAGGGTTGGAGAGACGTGTCAGTTGTGCTGGCTAATTCTGTGTCAACTTGACACAAGCCAGCTTCAGCAGAGAGGCGGGAGCCTGAGCTGAGAAAGTCCATGAGTAAGATGGAGCTTTAGGCAAGCCTGTAGGGCATTTCTTAAATCTGTGATTGATGGAGGACGGTCCGGGCCATTGTGGGGGGTGCTATCTTGTTAGAGGTCCTCTTTGGGCCTGCAGTCCCTCCAGTCCAGATAGCCTTGTGGGTTTTGTGGTGTTAGATGGAGGATGCCCTCTCCCCAGCAGGGCCTCCTACGCTCTGCCTGACCTCATCTGCATAGAGTCTTTAGGCATAGGTGCCTCTAATCATATCTGCTATATGGCCTTTGGCACAGTTCCCCCGCTCTCCCCCTTCCCTGCGCCTACAGGATAATTAGGTAACCGTGTTCCTGTTGGTATGATAGGATCATGCAGCCAAATGCAAATCAAGCATCCTTGGAATTCCTAGCTCCAAGCCTTTATGTACACCTATCCCCAGAGCTCCCCAGCCCCTCCCCACGGACTATAAAGTCTTTGTTCACCCCAAATAAAGTTGAGCTACCTTGATGAAGTAGTTCCCAGAGGCTCACAGTCTTCCAAGCCCTGTGCCCTGCCTCTGCTCCGTTTGCCCTCATGGCTGATGGCCAACAGCCCCAGGGAAGAAGAGACCAACACTATCCCCGGCTGGTGGTCCTGGGTTCCATAAGAGAGCAGGCTGAGCAAGCCATGGAGGGCAAGCCAGTAAGCAGCACCCTCCATGGCCTCTGCATCAGCTCCCGCCTCCAGACCTGCTTGAGCTCCTGTCCTGACTTCCTTCAAGGATGAGCAGTGGTGTGGAAGTATAAGCCAAACAGATCTTTCCTCCCCGAGTTGCTTTGGGTCATGGTGTTTAACTGCAGCAATGCTGACCCTAACTAGGAGAGTGGTTAAGAACGCGTTTACTGCTCTGTCAGAAGACTGGGGTTCAGACCCCTGCACCCACAGCAGGGGGCTCACAAATGCCTGTTGCCCCTGCTCCTAGAGATCTAACACACCTCTTCTGGGCTCCGTGAGTGTATACACACACACACACACACAGAGAGAGAGAGAGAGAGAGAGAGAGAGAGAGAGGAGGTGTGCAGGATAAATCTTTTAAATGAAACTTTGACTAGGAGAAAAGGTTTAAAAAAAAACATGCCTACCAAAGAAGAATTTCAAATTATTGTTTGTTTTTACTGATTTTTCAAATAAAGGGATTTTTTAATCTTATTTTTTTTTCTCAGAAAGTTTTATGTGACAGTTCATGAAAAAGTATAAAGATTATTCATTAAAAATGTTTGGATTGGGGCTGGAGAGATGGCTCAGTGGTTAAGAGCTCTGTCTGCTCTTCCAGAGGTCCTGAGTTCAAGTGGCTCACAACCATCTATATCCTCTACTACCCTCTTCTGGCATGCAGGTGTACATGCAGATAGAGCATTCAAAAGAAATGAATAAAATCTTTAAAAAAAAATGTTTGGATCGAGGTTGGTGAGAAGGCTCAGTGTAAAGACACTTGCTGCCAAGCCTGAGGGCTGAAGCCCCACCCCCAGGCCTCACAGGTGGAGGAGACACGACTCCACACGGATGGACAACAGTGCAAAAGAAGGAATCGGCAGACAGCACTAAAAATGTCCATTCTCCCAGGAGCCGCAGCAGGAGCTGTGCCTGACTCTGCCTTAGGCTCCCTTTCCCCTAACCGGGCTGGCTGGTCCAGCCTCAACAGGAGAAGATGTGCCTAGTCTTACTGCAACTTGATATGCCAAGACCAGCTGATATCCACGGGAGACCTCCCCTTTTCTGAGCCTCTTCTGAGGAGAAAGGGAGGATGGCGAAGGGGAGGTGAGAGGGAGCGACTGGGAGGAGAGGAGGAAGGAGACGTTGAAATCGGAATTAAAATAAATTAATTAATTAAAAAAAAAAACATGCAGAAGGAGTCACTACAACTGAGTTTGTACCCTCACCAGCAGCCTCCCGGCCTCTCTGCAGGGGCTCTGACCCTGCACCTGGTGCCAAGGCCTCAGTCTCTCTCCAGAAAGTACGGGCTATTGATCTTACACTAAGGAAGGAAGGGAGGGAGGGAGGGAGGGAGGGAGGGAGGGAGGGAGGGAGGAAGGAAGGAAAGGTCCATCATTTTTCAGGTTCAGCATTTGTTTGCCTGTTTCTCATAGAGACACTTTAAGGACCTGCAGTTGAACTAGTGCTTTAGGGTTGGGAGTATAGCTCACTGGTGGTGTGCCTGTCTAGCAGCTATGAGGTGCTGAGTTCAAGCCCCACAACTTCAACAAGTAAATCTACACAGCTACTTAGAGAAGACATTTTGCTCTTTTTTTTTTTTTTTAGGCCTGCTCAGACGTGGTCTCGGGGGAGATCTCACTGAATAGCTTTTCAGATAAATGAGCCACACAAGCCGTGTGGGGTTCGGCCTACCAGCGTTAACCTCGGCTTTCATTTCCTTCAAGTCCTCGTTCATCTGTAACTCCAGTTTGCTGATCCGCCCGTGCACCTTCTCATCTTCCGGCTTCGTTCTCTGCCCTTCCACGTTCTTCTTCTGACTCTCTTCGATTCTGTCGAGCCTGGCCGACATCTGGCTGAGCTTCTTCTCCATGTCCCTTTCACTGGCTCCCTGAAATCCGTGATAAGATGACCACTTGGTTATTGCAAAAGAGGAGTGTGTGCCTTGTCTCCCACTGGCCATAGCACTTAACCATCTGCAGGGACCAGAATCACAGGGGCTCCTTGTTGTCCGTCCCATATCCATTCTCAATGGTCACCCAGAGTAAAAATCTACATTTTATTCTGTCTCCTGAGTTTGGTGTGGCCATGTGAGCTAACCAATGAAGTCAAGAACAAGCGAATGTAACTGCTTCCAGAAAAAGTTCAAGTACACTTGCTGTAGATCCTTGACTCTTTCCTTTTCCGTTCCCACTATTCAGTCAATGGCTGGATCTTTAGCAGCCATCCTGAACTGTGGGGACAAGAGTTTCTCTCTGAGGCTGGCAGGAATCTAACCTAAAAGGATTCTGAGTGGCTGAAGACTGACAGGCTCTCTCATCTCATGTGGGGTCTGAAGAATGCACCCCTGGAATTGTTTTCCTGAGAGAGCAGTAAGCCTCCATCATAGAGAAGCTACCGTTATCACTGTTAGCTTAAGCCAGTGTGAAAATCAAACAGTCTCAGAAATCCACAGATACGTCAGGATGTGTCAAGGCACAACAATGGGGAGATCTGAGGGAAGGAGGGGAAGAGCCAAAGGAAAGAGTTGAAATATTGAATATTTCCTTGTCTTTGCAGCCCACTGTGCCTGGGTTTTGTGAAACCCTGCATCTATAGGCCTTAGTGGCCAAAACTAAGAACACCAAGCGTTCATCAGGTGTGATTGACACTCCTGTGATGGCGTTGATGCAGAGCCTGAAACTCGATGACCAGCTCAGCACCTGGAGCAAGCGACAGGCAAACCACACCAGCCCCATGTGCTCACTAAAGCCCCATGGGAGGAAACGGGGCAAAGAAAAGAGAACCCAACACAATTTGCCTGTATAGCGCTGCCTTCCAAGTCTGCTGGTTTTAAATGTGATAAATGCAAGACTTTTTGAAGATTTTTTTTTTTGGCAGTTCTTCAAACCTTAGCTTTTTGAGAAAGGGGGAGGAAACAGAAGCAGATGGAAAAAAAATGGTGAATCCTGATCCGAAGGCACGCTGTTGTCACAGTGCGTTGGAGGGGCCTGGAGGGACAGAGAGCCACTTAGCAAGGGTGAAAGCAGAACTGGGTCCCAACATTAAAAACAAACAGAAAAACATGGTCAAGTAAGTTGCTGACAGCTTTATTTAGAAATGTGTGATAGATAGACTTTGGGGACCATTAAAGTTGCAGCATAAAACATTAACTGAAATTTTCAGTTTTGTTAACCAGCATGAGTCGCAGCCCTTGCTGTCTTCATGAAGAATGTGAAGAACAGGCAACGGGTAGCATGGCTAGGTGGTAAAGTTCAAGAAAAGCAGATATGACTGTTAGTGTTAATTGTCAACTTAACAGAATCTAGAAATCAACTGGAAGCCGGGCCTCTGGGCTTGCCTGGGGGTTGGGGGGCAGGGGTTGTTTTGATTAGCTTGAGGTGGAAACCATTGTGGATGGCACCATTCCCTGGCTGGGAAAGAGAGCCTAGCAGTGCAGCCTGTATGCATCCCTCCCTGCTTCCTGATAGTGGCTGCAACAAGACCAGCTGTGTCAAGCTCCTGCTGCCCTGGCTCCCCGGCAAGATGAAGTGCACCCTCAAACTACGGACCAAACTATGAAGGAACCTTTTCTCCCTTAAGCTGCTTTTGCCAGAATATTTTCTCATAGCAACAGGAGAAGAAACCAAGACAGCAGTTATTAGAAAATGTGGCTGTGATCCCCAGAACAAAGGAAAGAAGAGAGAGAGAAAGGGGAAATGGGAGAGAGAGAAGACGGAAGGAAAAGAGAAGCGGGGGGGGGGGGGGGGGGGGGGGGGGAGGAAGGAACACAGAAATTATTCAAAGGCAAGAACAGGGTCAGGTGGCACCAAATAAGCAAGTGAGAGGCCCCTAGGTAATAGTCAGATGTCGCAGGCCTGGCTGTCTTTTGAACATCAATACCTACACTGTTTTCCTTCACAATCAAGGAAAGATGGTCGATCTTCTGTAAAAGCTCTTTCTCTATCCGTTCTTGCTCTTGCTGCAGCCAACTCCGTGCAGATAATATCTGGTTGCTGAGCTCCTCGACTGTACCTTTAAGTCTAAAAAATTTAAAAAAAAAAAAAAAGGAAGAAAAGGCACGTAGACAAGCTGAGTGTAAACAGTTTTAAGTAACATTAAACAATATCAGTTTATTGAGAATGGCATCCACACCTTCTCTTAGGATCATTTGCAACATGAAGTTGGTGCAGGATGAAAACATACAACCCATAGGTTGTTGGCAGTACAGAAACTAAGGTGACACAGAAATACAGAGGTACCAGGGGCTAACTTTTGCAGTTCTAAGGGTCCATGGTACTCCTTGCTCAGAGGACAGACCATCCTTCATCTCCTTTTTCAGAATCCTCTCCTCTTCCTCCTTGCCTCTTGTGTCTCCCAGGACTAGAGGCTGGCTTTCTTTCTCTCTCATGTTTTCCATTGCTCTATCCCCATATGGACATAGCCTAATTTAAAGCAGTAGGAAATAAACTAGGCATAATGGGACATGCCTGCAATCCAGCACTTGGGAGGCAGAGACAGAAGGATCTGGAGTTAAAGGTCTTAGTGAATTCAAGGCCAGCTTGAGCTACCTGAGACTGTCTCAAAAAAATAATAATAATGATAATAATAAAATAAAAAGGCGAGAAAATGGGAAGTACTCCCTTACAATATTTCATTCCTCTAATCTCCTCTCTTCCGTAATCCTTAAAAGAACTATCAATGGAATGCATGCTGCTTCCGTTAATCACCTTCTTATTTGTATTAGCGTGTAATGAAAGTATAGAATATATATGTGTGTGTAGAGATGTGATAGATGTAGAAGTGTGATTTAAATAATACTAAGAACACCCATTGGACTCACTAATTGTCCTGAAATGTCTATTTTTTTTTTCTTATATAAGGAATCTTCATGTCACTGGAACACATGGCTGCCTAGCTGGAGACCACATTTACTAGCCTCCCTTGCAGCTAAGTGTATGCAGTTGTTAGTCTTCTGTGCCATCTTTACTGAATGCGGAATCACCTAAGAGACACACCTCGGAGCATGCAAGTAAGGGTGTTTCTGGAGGGATTTAATGAAGAGAAAAGACCCACCCTGAATGCCTAAAACACCGCCTCATGGACTGGAGTCCCAGGCTGAATAAGAAATGGGGAAGAAGGAAGTAAACTCAGCACCAGCACTCATCTTTCCGATTATAGATCAATGCGACCAGCCACCTCATGCTCCTGCTACCACGTGTTCATCAACAGAGTGGATGGTATTCCCTCAAACCATGAGCCAAACCGTCATCTGTCACCTTCATCACTCAAGGTGCTTTGGTCAGGTCACAGCAGTGAGAAAAGTAACTGTTTCCAGTGCAGCACACCAATAAGTCGGGTGACTGACAGTCTACGAAGGAGAGGAGAACATGGTTCCGGTCGCATCCTTCAAAACACGGCTGTTGCCCTGCATCTTTGCTTTGTGGCAGCTGAGGAAAAGCAAGGACTGGAGCTGCAGGGGCTCCACACAGTCCTCAGAGCTGTCCTGTCTGTCCTAGAACACTGACCGCGGGACATAGAAACATCCCAAAGCTGAACTAATGCAGTCATCTACACAGCTGGCCACCCCCGGGACTCAGAAGATCCACATACAGGTGAGCGTTGCCAGGATTTGCTATTCTTTACGGGCACCTTCCTCTCATAGGATTCGAGTGATTAAGTCAGGCTTGCTTGGATGATCCACCCATTTTAAAACCTTCCTCAGGGAGCTGGGGAGAGGGCTCAGTGGGTAAAACCTTTGCTGTGCAAGCAAGAGGGCCTGAGTTCAGGTCCTCAGAACCCATGTAAAGAGGTGGTCTATAATTCCAGCATTCCTATGGAAGGTGGGAAGCAAAGACAGGAAACCCTGGGAGCTCTCTGGTCATCTATCCCCGAGTACACAGTGTTGAACAACCAAAGACCCTCTCTCAAACAACGTGGGAGGTGAGAACTGACCCAAAGTATGCACATGTGTCTGTGTGTGTGCGTGCACACACACATTAACACACACAGAGAGAGATCTTTTAAAAGGCTTTCATTTCCTAATACTGGAATTGAACCTATGACCTCATTCCTGCTAGCCAAGCACTTTACTCCTGACCTATATTCCCAGTTGAAGATACTTAAACACACCCACCAAGTTTCTTTTATCCATAAAAGTTAACATATTCACATGGAGAATTTGGGGGAAACTTTACTGATCGATTGATTGATTTTTATTATTATTATTTGAGACAGTTTCTCTCTGTGGCCCTGGCTGTCCTGGACTCACTTTGTAGACCAGGCTGGCCTCATATCTGCCTGCCTCTGCCTCCCCAAGTGCTGGGATTACATGCATGCACCACCATGCCTGGCATGGGGAGCCATTATTTAACTTAACATAACCACATACTTATCCCTTGACGCATGTTTAATAATAAATAATACAGAGCACTCTGCCTATGTCTTCATTTGGACCTGGCTGTCAGCTCCCTAAACTAGAGACTTTTCAGGATCAAGAACAATGTCTGCTTTGTTTTGTGTTTTCTTCATCACTAGATCCATAGTTTTTAGGCAAGTGTTCCACAAGCACATACTCGAAGCTGGGATACTCAATGGATAAAGTGCCTGCTGCTCACGCATGAGGACCTGAGTTTAGATGCCCAGAACCCATGTAAAAAGCTAGGCAGGATGGCTTGCATCGACGATCCCAGCACTGGGGAAGTGGAAAGAAAGTCTCACTGGCCAGTTAATCTAGCAGAATCAGGGAGAGACTCTGCCTCAAAAAAAAAAAAAAAAAAAAAAAAAGAGATGAAGAGAGATAGAGGAAGACGCCCAATGTTAACCATCACCTCCATGCACTCACGCATTCATTCATGGGCACATTCAACCCACCGTTGCACATTTACACACATATATAGACACATCAAAATACAATAAATAAAACAAATACACAATGGATGAAAAGATGGGCCATCATCCAACCACTAGAAGCAATAATTATGAAGGAAAGGTGACAGTGTGCCACATGAAAACTTTTTCTTTTAGCTTTCATTATTACTTTCACTCTGTGTGATAAATCAAAAGCAAGAGGTGTGCAGGGGGGCTGGCTTAGAACTTAAGAGGACTTGCTGCTCTTCCAGCGGACTTGAGTTCAGTTCTTAACACCTACATCTGGCTGTTGACAACCACCTGCAGGTCCAGTTCCAGGGGACCCAATGCCCTCTTCTGGCCTCTTTAGGCACTGCACTCATGTGCAGATATCCACACAGACAAATAGAAATAAAAATAAAAATTTTAAACAGGCAAAGTTCAGACACTGTGTTTTAAAAATAAAAACAAGAGGAGGAAAGTGTCATGAGCTCAGAAAGAACTTGAGAAAACTCTTCACAAGCTGATGACTCACTTAGTGTCCAGGAGCTGCAGCTGGTGGTTGCTGTCTCTGTGGGACATCTTCAGTTTGGTGCTCTGCTCTGAGATAGACAGGTCTACTCTGTTCAAAAGCTGAGAAATCTGGAAAAGAAGATTGAGTTATAAAGGTCTCAGGTCATGTCTTCAGGGGCCATCTCAGAAAGCAGTTCATACGTCAATGCTGGACAGTGGCATTAAGAGTCACTTTACACAGTCCATTTAGAAGTTTTCCTCCTCCTTCCACCTCTGAGTGTGTGTGTGTGTGTGTGTGTGTGTGTGTAGGTGCATATGCACACATACACATATGAAGGCCAGAGGTCAACAGGAGTCGTTTTCCTCAATCATTCTCCTCTTTACTTTTTGAGACAGAACGTGTTGATGAACGTGGAGCTCACCTATTGGCTAGAATGGCTGGCCAATAAGCTCTTGTTGCTTGTCTACCACCAAGTACTAGGTGTATCACAATGTCCAGCTTTTAAAAAAAAAATTAGGTTATTTTATTTTATTTGCATGAGTGTCTGCCTAAATGTATGTATATGCACTGTGTGTGTGTGTGTGTGTGTGTGTGTGTGTGTGTGTGTGTGTGTGTGTTGTGCCTGCTGAGGTCACAAGAGGGTATCAGATTCCCTAAGACTGGAATTACGATTGCGATCTACCATGGTACTGGGAATTGAACTCAGAAGAGCAAGTACTCTTAAGTACTGAGCTGTCTCTCCAGTCCCTATGGCGTCTAGCCTTTAAGGGGTGCTTCACATCCAAACCTAGGCCCTTCTGTTTGTGTGCATGAGCACTTTAACTCCTGTGCCATCTCCCTAGGGCTCTTTAACTCTTACACTATCCACCTAGCCACTGCCTTCATTTTCTTTCTAACACACCCAGTGAAAATCAAGACAGGGGTCACTGACAAAATACTCACCACACAGTGAGTGCTAAGCTTAACAGCTCTCTTATGAGCAAGCCCAGCTCCTGCCCAGGGCAGGCACCTCTACCAGCTCTCATGGTATGCAGCCATGGTTACCTCGGCACCGTGGCTGCCAGTCACAGAGGGCAGAGTTTCTACGGCTTACAAGTGTTTCGAGGTTCCAGATGTCAGAAGACAACTTGTGGGAGTGGGTTCTGTCCTTCCATTATGTGGGTTATGGAGACTGAACTCAGGTCAGCAGGCTTGGTGGCATGAACGTCTACCCCACTGAGCCATCTGCCTTTGCTTTTCATCTTGAGATGTGCAAACTGCTCAGGTTGGCCTAACTCACTTTTTAGCCCATACAAAACTTGAATGTGGGATCCTCCTGCCTAAGCCTCCAGACTCACTGGGATTGTGGACCCATGCTATCAAGCCAGGCCCTGTTCATCTTAAAAGAAAAACAACCCAAAGGCCTGCCTTTCTTTCAAAGTTTTCTAATGCCCTTTGTTTTTACATGAGCAGCTTCAAATTCTTGCTGAAGTTAAGAAGTATTTTTTAATCCAGTCTATTGCCCAGTTGCCCCTGTTTTCCTAGAATAGTCTCTGGTTATGTAAAGAATGGTAAATTAGGAAGATAGTGTGGAAAAGTCTTAGGAGGCTAGCCCTGTTATGACAGAGGGAGTGTGTAAGTAATACAAACCAAACAAACTTTAAAAATCCGATAAAGTAGGGTTGGAGAGATGGCTCTGCAGTTAAGGGCACAAACTCTTCAGGGTTCAGTCCTAGCACCAATGTCAGGTGGCTTTCAACAGCCTATAATCCAGCTCCAGGGGGATCTAAGTTCTCTCTCTCTCTCTCTCTCTCTCTCTCTCTCTCTTTCTCTCTCTCGCTCACACACACACAGAATGATAATAAAAATCTTAAAAGAAACCATTCCAAACTAGTGAAATGCTGAGTCTTGCTTTGTGAAGTAAACTATGGATTTTCAAGGTAAGATCCCCTAAGATTCCTTGGTCAGCTTACTCTCTAGCTTTGGTCTAACTGGGTCCCACATTCAGACCACGTGATGAGTCAGCACAGGCAATGAGTCGCTGTCAGGAAAGAACGTATTTCCTGAATCAGACACTGGGATAAGCAGCTTACAAATCAACCATGGGTCACTCACCTGTGCGACAGGTAGTTTGGGAGATATAGTTTAGAATTTCTGGGGTATGTGAACTGCTTCTTGAATAAGGGGAAAGACTCTTTAAATGGGCACTGTACCAAAAACTCTCTGTGATCTGGCTTCATGAAGGACCACTCCTTCTGTCTCAGTGAGACAGAGAAAATGGAGCAGAAAGAGCCGAGGATTTGCATAAACCCATACCAGGGACCCCAGCTGGCCTTACCTGTCCTTCTGCGTCTTTGATCTTTGTTTCCAGGATCAGCTTGGCTGCTTGCTGTTCCTTGTTCAAGTGCTGGAGTCCCTCGTAGGTCGACTTATGCTCTGCCGAGAGTCTGGCTATGCTGGCATCACACCTACCCAGGCAAACGACACACACTCATTAAAGCTTAAAAGCACAAGTGGCTGCCTTGTATAATGTAAAAGGCATTGTGAAACGCAAGGCCTCCTCAGAAACTGTACTCCTGGGCTTGGAGAAGGCTCAGGCAGTAAAGCATGAGGAACTGAGTCTGATGCTCAGACTGCATGTAAAGAAAGAAAAAAAAGCCAGGTTTTGTGGGGCTGGGGAGATGGCTCTGTGGTTAAGAGCAAGTACTTGCAGAAGACTGGAGTTCAGTCCCCAGCGGCTCACCACAGCCATGTATGACTCTAGCTCCAGGGGATCCAATACTTCTGGCCTCAGCAGGTACCTGCACCCACATACACACCTACACACATTTAAAAATTAAAAAATAATATTTCAAACCAGGTGAGACACTTACAATCACAGCCCTGAGAAGGCAGAGACGAGCAAATCTCCCAGGCTCACTGGCTGCCGGTGAAGCCTAGCTGGCCAGCACGTGCTCTTGAATTTTGTTTTAAAGTGGCTGGTGAGACACCTCAGAGGACAGAGGTACATGTGTACCTCAGGCCCAAAGGCCTGAGTTCAATGCGTGGGTTCCACACAGCAGCAGGAGAGAACCAGCTGCCAATAGCTGCCCTCTGACCTCCACACTGGCACCATGGTGCACGCATGCCTATGTACCCAAAAGTTCACATCACACACACACACACACACACACACACACACACACACACACACACACCACAGTTAAAAAAAAATAGGGGCTGGAGAGATGGCTCAGAGGTTGAGGGGACTGGCTGTTCTTCCAGAGGTCCTGAGTTCAATTCCCAGCAACCACATGGCTTTCAACCACCTGTAATGGGATCTGATTCCCTCTTCTGCTGTTCATGAAAACAGTATTCATATACATAAAATAAAAAAGTGGATGGCTCCAGAGAGTAACACCTGTGCACACATAATGAAAAAGGAAGGGGAGAGGAAAGGGAAGGGAGAAGAAAGAAAAGAACTTAAGTGTCCTTACCCCCAAATGATTTTCAAGTATGGTGCCAAGACAGTCAGTGAGAGATAGAATAGACTTTTGACTACTGATATTGAAAAATAACTAAACATGCAAAAGAATGAGCTCGGAACCCTACCTCACACCATGTATATGAAGCTGCTGAGACATAGATCAAGGCTGGAGAGATAGATGAGTGGTCACAGACATTTCCAGGGAACCAGAGTTCAGTGAACAGCACCCACATAGGCCTGCACACAACTGCCTATAACGTCAGCTGCAGGGGACTTGAACCCTTTTCTGGTCTCCATGGCCACTGCACACATGTGGTACACACACACACACACACACACACACACACACGCATGCAAGCAAAACGCTTGTACACGGAAAATAAAAATCAATTCATCTTCTAAAAATGTAAACACACGAGACCTCATAAACACGTATTCTCAGCCTCATTTATAATGTATGGTTATCTTTTATATATCATTTATAAGAATTATTATATTATGATTTAAATAGATAAAAAGTAGAAACAGCACATCTGCTCAGCTTAGGAAGAAACAGTGTGGTGTGTCTTAGCCATAGACTGCCATGATGCACTGAGACACCACACACAGGTGAACCCTGAAAGCCCTACGCTGAGTGCAAGCACCTGTGTGCATGATTCCACTCACAGGAAACATCCAGAGAGCCAAATCCGCAGAGATGGAAAGAATTCTGTGGTTGCCGTGGACAGGGTTTGAGGGAATCTGGGGGAGTGACAGCAAAAGCCACAGGGTTTCTTTCTGAATTGTTCGAGTGTTCTATGATTAATCGTGATGGTTGCACGGTGAATATACTAAAAGCCACTGAACTGTATGCTTTAAAGTTTTAGTTTAAATTCCCCCTCCCCCCCCCTCTCTGTGTGTGTGGGTGTGTGTGTCCATTTGAGTGCAATGCCTGCTGCAGAGTTCAGAAGAGGGAGTCGGTGCCCTGGAGCTGGAGTTACAGGCAGTCATAAGCCCACCTGAAATGGAACCTAGGAAGCAAAACTGGATCCTTTGGAAGAGCAACAAACACTCTTAAGTGCTAAGCCATCTCTCCAAGCCCTTCCCCATTGTTTGTTTATATGTGAATTATGTATCATGAACTCTCTTCTTAAAGAGCAACAGAGAGTCAGAGGAAGAGAGGGAAGGAAGAAAGGAGGGCGAGGAAGGGAGGGGGAGGGAGAGCTAGTTCTCTCAGGGCCACTCTTCTGTTTGTGATGGTCCCAGTGTTATCCCCCTCTAATTCCCAGTTCGCAGGTATTGGGAGCTTATGGCTTGGCATACGGATATTTTCCCTCTAACACTCTGCCACCAGGCACACCCACACTTATCAGAGAAGAAGAAGGAGATTCTGGGATTCTGGAGAAAATGCAGACAGTGTGCCAAACACAGACCCAAACAGTGCAATAGGAATTGGGAAGCTAAACATGAGCTTTGCTTCTGGAAGAAATGGAAAAATCTCCAGCCTTGTCCTACGTGAGGGGCGCTGTGCTGAGAGGGATGCATGTCCTGACCTAGATCTACAAGTAAGAAGCAAGGGCCTGTCTGCTGTTCACTGCATTACTAATAGATCCATAAAAGCTACACACCCCGACAGGAAAGCATAGGCCAGCCTAGGAATCTAGTATTATCACTTTAAAAGCTATACTGCTCCAACACAGTTATGTAATCAACGCACAAAAGTCAAAAATCTTGCCAAGGAGACTTTCTGTCACACGAATTCATTACAACAAAATCTCATTAGCCTTCCAAGAGAGAGACAGATATAGCCACAAAACAAACCCAAGGTATCCGGTGCCTATCACAAACACTCGGCGGTTTTAGAATCAAGGCGTTTGTCAACAGGGGAGGAACAAGTTGGGTGGAGAAGCTGATGAAACCCTGAAGCAGAACGGAAGACTCCTGACGGTATTTTGAGAGAGTTCTTCTATGTCCAGATACAATGTCATAAAAGTGGCATCAGTGTCACTGAGGGGCGGAGGGGCGGACAGCTGCCATTTGTGCCTTGCTCCCTCCCTGCTGGCTCTACACAGTCTCAGTCTCCATCTGCACCCACAGCGGTGTGACAGCTAATTTTGGTAATCATCCTGACCGGATCCAGCCACTGGGTACTCCTGTGAGGGATCTTCCTGCCCTGCCCATTAGAAGCAAGAAGACCCATCCTAAAGCAGGCAGCGCCTTCCTGTGAGCCCAGCTCTGAGGGGGAGCTGTGCTGTTTGCCTCGTTGCCTCACCGGCAAGGCCACCTACCCCCTTGCTGCTGCCGCTTCACTCCAGACACAGACACAGGCTTCTCAGGCTTCCAACATGGACTAAAGACCAGTGGCTCTCCAGAAACCCTCCAGGCCCTGGGTGGGGCTCCTGACACAGTGAGCTAACAGCTGCTCGGTCCTCAGCCTCTCCAGCCAGGAGGTGACTGCAGGACTACACTTCATAGACCAACAGAACCATCACTAGAGTGGCCATGACACTCTTCAGCCTTGAGTCCCTGCTGTTCTCTGAGCTTCGGGGTCTTTTAAAAGCCAAACGAAGACTCAGGATTTTGCAGTCCTGCTCCAACAACTTTTCTAGATCAGCCATTCACCCAAACAAGCATTTGTCAACTACCTACTGTTTCCAGCGGGCTCTCGGCACTTGACTACAGTAGTAAACGATACAGAGCCTCACTCCAAGACAATGAAGAAGACACCAGGGTGACAGGATAGAGCTTAAGTCAGGAGTGGGGGAGGAGGCGACACTCCGCAGAGTAGGGAAGGACCCCTGGAGGAGAAGACGTTTGCACTATACTTTAAAGGTAAGAGGAAGTGGAAAGGTACCCACGTGCCAAAGCCCAAAGGCACAAGAATGGGCTTCTTTGGAGAAGAAGGTGCAAGACAAGGGTAGGAAGAGGTGAGGAGATCAGAAGCTGTCTACCACCAACGTCAGACTAAGGAGACTAGAGGGGACTCATCCCACTGAGAACACAGACGACAGACGGGCCGGGCGTGGTGGAACACGCCCATAGCCCCGGCACTCAGGAGGGCAAGGCAGGGCAACGCAAAGCCTGCTGGGCTGCAGAGTGAGACTCCATTTTAAATAAATAAGAATTAAAGGAGGGGCGGCGGCAGCTGGAGAGGTGGCTCAGAGGTTAAGGGTGCTCACCACTCTGGAAGAAAACCTGGGTTCAGTCCCCCACACACTCACATGGCCGCTTACAACCTCCTGTAGCTCTGGTCCCAGAGGATCTGACATCTACTCTTCATGACCAAAGGCTCCTGCATGCATGTGTGCACACATATACATGGTACATATATACACTCGGGCGCGCACACAGGCACACTAAAAAACAAAAACCAAAAGAGCAACAGAGCAGCGAAGAACCAGTGCAGAGTGGTCACTCTGCCCCGTTATTTGTACTGACTCTTAATGGAGCAGAGGGCAGAAGAGGCCCAGACATCATCTGGACAACTTCATCCCAGCCAGCTAAAAATAATCCGGAGGGGAAGGCCTCTTGCAGAGATTCTTAACCGTCAGTGTGCCCAGAGTCCACGGATCTCATGAGAAACAGGTTCTAATTCAGTAGCTGCGGGTGTGGACATTGCTAACGAGGTCCGAGGCGTGAGCCTGGAAGACGGTTCAGCCGGCGAAAGCACTTGCTGCCCAGCCTGATGACTTGAGTTCCCTGGGCCACGTGTGGTGATGGGAGAGAATCGACTTCTGCAATTATCCTCTGTTCTCCACATACATGCCACAGTACACACGTGTACACACACACACACACGCATAAATGTAACTGTAAATGAAATATATATCTTTTAAAATGCCAGGTAATCCTGAGGGTCTGTGTCCTTGGATCACACCCAAGTAAAGAGAAAAATCACTTTCCAGGCTGACAGGAAAACACATCTTAAATTTTCCAGCCTATAGGAAACCAATACTTCCAGGAAATAAGACAAAAATTAATTATAACAAAGATGAGCACTTATTTTGGTCTTTCGAGACAGGTTTCCCCTGTGCGTAGCCGTGGCTGTCCCAAAGATGAGCCTTATAAAAGGCATTCGAACAGTAAGCCCTGAGCATCATTGGATTCAGTGACCACACGGTTACCTGGCAGCAGAGGGCGCCCTCCGATCATTTCCTCCCAGAACACCCGGCCAGCTTTGGAAAGGAAAACAGTCAGGGCAGGCTGACGCCCAGGGTTGAAGTCTACCGCTAGCTTCCGTGGTCAGAGCCGGGAGGGGCGTAGTGAAAGAATTTACTGGGACTTCCTCACTGAACTGGAGCTCATAAAAAGGTTGGGCATCGAGCCGGGCGTGGTGGCACACTCCTGTGATCCCCACATTTAGGGAGGCAGAGGCAGGAGGATCGCTGTGAGTTTGAGCCCAGCCTGGTCAACAAAGCGAGTCCAGAACAGCCAAGGCTACACAGAAAAACCCTGTCTCGAAAAACTAAAACAAAACAAACAAACAAACAGTTGGGTATCATCATCATCATCACCATCATTATTGGTAGGTGGGTGAGTATGAAGAAAAGGGCACGACTTTGTGGAGCTGGTGCCCTCCTAGTGGTTACCAGTGTGAAACTCAGGTGAGCAAACTTCCACAACGAGCATTTTACACCGCCGCCCCCACTGCCTCCCCAGCCCCCCACCATCTATCTCAGAGCCAAGTGAGTAAAGCCTCCACTGTTTGGAGACCCGCGGTGACGGGCTGAATTCGGAATCACGCACCTCTGGGCCTGGCTGTGAGGGCGGTTCCAAGAGGTGAGACTGAAGAGGGGAGAACTACCCTGAACCCCGAACGTGGACAGAGGCTCCTCAGGGCCTGGGGTCCCGGACTGAATGAAAAGGGGAGATGGAGCTTAGCATAGGCAGCTCCCTCCGCTTCTTGACTGTGGACCCCACGGGAACAGTCACCTCACGCCCCTGCCGACCCGCCCTCCTCACCCGATGGACTGTGAGGACAAAGAACCCCGCCTTCCTCGAGATGCCTCAGAGGGGCCTTCTGCGGGGCCTTCTGCGGGCAGTGGGCACGGACTGGTACGCTTACCTGGCAACTCTTCCTCGGAGATCTCCCAAGCCAGAGAGCTGGCGCATCTCCAGCGTCTTTAAGGCAGAATTAGTCCCATAGCTGATGTTGTCCCTGGCGCGGATCTGCTCCTGGAGAACCTGGGGGACACAAAGGACGCTTGGGGTCACTGGCAAATTCACAGGCGTCCGCACAGCACTTCATAATTCCGGAAAGTACGTGAGTGCTCAATTCATAAGACCTTGTTTGTTTGTTTGTTTGTTTGTTTGTTTGTTTAAAATGAAAAGTCTCACTATTAGCCCTGGCTGGCCCAGTGCTTGCTATGTAGATCAGGCTGGCCTCGAACTCACAGAGATCCACCTGCATGAGGAGTTCCTTTTAGCACTGAACTGATGAACACAGGGGCTGAAAACCTCTAGGAGGCCTAGAGGTACCACTCCTAAGAGTCCCCTACCAATAAAACTTTTCTTTTTTTTTTTTTACTACTTTTCCTTAGTATAAAAGAGGTTTTATTGTCAGTACAACGTCTGTTATGCCCTAAGCTTAGTGTAGACTTGTTTGTTTGTTTGTTTGTCTTTAGAGACAGCATCTCACTGTGTGACCAAGGCTGGCCTCCAATTTCCCCTCCCGCCTCAGCCTCCTCGGTGTTGAGGACTCCCAGGGATATGCCACCATACCCAGCCCCCCCCCCCCGTTATTTTATTTTACACTGTTTACATTTCAGTTTGAGTTTCTCTTTGATTTAAGGATGTTCGACTACCAAAGGATTACTCAGAATCAACGAGCGCTGGCCAGCGCCGCACACTCAGGAGCCTGCGGCCGGAGAATTCCTCACAAGATTCGGTCTCAAAAACTAAAAATAAAAGCAGAGTCAAGAGACTGTTTCATTGTTTCAAACTGTTAATATTTTGCTCTTTGTTTTTACATTTTATTTACTGATGAGTGGGATGTGAGAACACAGTTTTTAAGGAATTGATCCTCTCCTTCAACCATGCAGCTCCCGGGGATCAGTTCCGGTCTTTAGGAGTGGCGGCAAAGGCCTTTTCCTGCTGATCCATCTCACTCTGTCTTAATTCTCATAAAGTCTATAAGACCTTTCTTTCTTTCCTTCTTTCTTTCTTTCTTTCTTTCTTTCTTTCTTTCTTTCTTTCTTTCTTTCTTTCTCTCTCTCTCTCTTTCTTTCTTTCTTTCTTCCTCTCTCTCTCTCTTTCTCTCTTTCAAGACAGAGTTTTTCTGCATTGTCCTGGCTGTCCCAGACTTTGTAGACCTGGCTGGCCTCAAACTCACAGAAATCCACCTGCCTGAAATCCACCTCTCTCAAAGGCATGCCATCACGCCTGGCCTGACACTTCATATTTTTAATATGCTAAGTTTTGCTCTATGACTGAGTTTTTGGATTTTTACTTGTGTATACATGTGTGTGAGCCTGTGCCTCCTGTGTGTGTGCCCATGAGGTACAGAAGAGGTTATCTGATGCTCTGGAACTGAAGTTACAGGTAATTGGGAACAGACTGAGGTGTGTGCTAGAAACCGAAGCAAGCTGGACCACTGAGCCATCTTTCCAGCATCGACAACTGCTTAAAACAACATTTTAACCCCAGAGCTTGGTGAACCTCTCAAACTCTTTTCTTCAACTCCCTTATAGCTACTCAGTGTAACTAACATTTCCTCCCCCCTCTGGCTCCCTCCCCCCGGAGCGTCTGTCATTCATATGCTGGGGTTTGGCTGCATCTGTCCCACTTGCCCTTCCTGACAGCTCCACTCTGCATCGGACTCTCCTCTCTCTGGAGTTTCTCCCATTGATTTCCTGGGACCCACTAAACTCTAAATTCAAGGCAGTGGGTTTCACACTGTGCTCATGGGTCCTAAATGTGTAAATTGCCCTTTTCTCCCTGGCCCACTGGTACCCTTCCTCCTCCTCTAGCTGCTGGGTCCTTGGATGTGACGAGCTTTTCTTTCTCTGCTCATGGGAGTGTTCAGGTGGGTGTTCCTGACAATGTGGATGCATCAGTAGGCCGAGGTACAGCCAATGAGGGGCCTGTGCCAGTCCTAGCCAAACACTAAGAGGAAGAGTGGGCCTCCACAGTGTCTCCTCACCTCCTTCACAGAGGAAGGGACTGCCTCGTCAGTAGAGGGAGGCATGAGCCTGGCTCCTCCTCCTCAGACTCCTACCTAAGACTGCACTCTGGCTTTCCCTGCTGCAGGCTTGCAGGCACTGCTGTAAGACCAGTACAGTCCTGGTACACAAGAAGGCGGCACAGGGACTGGGGCTGGCAAGGAGGCAGGCACTGAGGGACAGGTGTCCCTTACCTCCTGCACTGGTAGAGGGACTGGTTTCCCTGTCTTTGTTCAGGTTGGTGACACTTACGTCTTATAGCCACCGAAAATGGAATTTGCAATTGCCAGACCTGTTACTTCCCATGGTTCCCAGTTTTTGAATGAAGGAACCTGCTCTGTGAAGAGGAATGCAAAGAAGCTACAATCACCTATGAATGACAAAATGTTACTCATCGAAGCTCGTTCCTGCAAGGAGACTGCAGATCTGACTAATTCATCCCTAGCGCACTCTCCCACTGGTGAAAGGCGCTGGTGGAGCTCTCTCTCTCCTCAATGGGCAATAGCAAGTGACACCTAATTAGAAGCAGAAAATGGAAAGAAGCCCTCATGCTTTCTGCGTGAGCATGTTCAAACTTTTGTTGATAGTAATAAGACACAAGGCCATGGTGTGCAAATGCCTTTGAGGTGCACAGATGTCACCCAGAGTCCCAGGTCCTGTCCCCAGCAACCCAAAGCTAGGGAGTAGGCCTGAAGGCGGATGCACAACAGACACAGGCCTCTCCTGGGTACCACCGAATCAGATGCTAGGAAAACGAGGCTTTGCTTTGGTTTTCAATCCCTAAGTGAAGAAGATGGAAAGGAATTCACAGAAGAGGTGCTTAAAATCATGAACATTTCCAGCAACCTTTCCAGTAACCAGAGGAACAGGAACCATAGAGAGGGGCTGGGGTCGTAACCCAGTTGCTAGAGTGCTTGCAAGGCAGAGCACCGCATAAACCTGACATGGCAGCGCACATCTGTAATCCCAACATCTGGAGGTGGGGGAGAGAGGGTCAGAAGTTCTAGGGCTTTTTTGGCTACTAAGTAGTGAGTTTGAAAGATCCTGAACCACACTGATGCAGAATGCTACTAGTGGACATGGCTGAGGGGATGTGGCTTGGGAGGGGCTGTAGGACAGGGAGAGTTAGATATGAGGGCAGCAGCTGAATGGACGCTTCTTATGCTTTCTGTTCTCTTGTGCTGAGAGCCGGACATAGCAAAAACAAAACAAAATAAGGCCTGTGTTTGATTGTTTGTTCTGCTATGCTGGAGACTGAACACAGAGGCTTACCTTTAGCACTCACATATACACCCAGCCCAAAGTCCACTTAAAAAATCTTTTATTTGTTACAGCTCAGTTGATAAAGTGCTTCCCACGCAAGAAAAATAACCCAAGCTTGATCCCAGCACCCACGTAAAAGCCAGGCACGTTTGTACAAGCTTTGATACCCGCATGGGATAGGCAGGGACAGTAGGATCCTGGGTGGTCTAGATTCAAACTGTGATAGAGATGGACTCAGGAAGACACGCCTATGTCAACCTCTGACCTCTACAAACATACTACATACACATGCGTGAACATATACATACATACAATCACTTTTATAAAAATAAACTAAAAATGAAGTATTTTAATTGTAATTCAAAAGTAAAAAAAAAAAAAAAAAACCCTCAAAAGGCATGGTTGATGAGGTAGCCAAAATGTATCCATATTGTTCAACTCTTTGGCCAAGTAATTCTACTTCTTAGAACTGATCTTAAGAAAACAAAATGGTAAAAGTGTCAGCATAAAAATGTGTTCCCATGTGATTCCCATACCAACAGATTTTACAACTGTTGCATCTTTATGAAACCATGATGAGAACTTTGAACAGCATTCACTTAACCAGAGACAGCTGTCAGTATGTGGCCCTGGCTAACCTAGGACTTGCTACATAGACCAGGCAGTCCCCAACTCACATCAATCCACCTGCCTTTGCCTCCTCAGTGCTGTGATTAAAGCTGGGCACCACCGTGCCTGGCAGTCACGCAGGGCTTTAAAAGCAAGAGGAGATGCGTAGAGTTCAATATTGAGCAAGAAGAAAGAGTATAAAATAAACAGGCAGGTTGGTTCCTGCTGTGTGCTAAGAACCTCATAAAATAGGGGGATGCTAACATCTTCCTTATTATGTCTAGTTCAAGGGGTGGGTGGGTTCCTCTTTCTTGTATTTCCCACATTATGTTTATAATAATAATAAAAAAAGTATGTGGCCTTTGCTTTTACAGCTTATAAATAAGAAAAGCACATTTAGCTTTTATAGTTCTTACCTTGTTTTGTTTTTGTTTTTTTCCAGAGCTGAGGACCGAACCCAGGGCCTTGCGCTTGCTAGGCAAGCACTCTACCACTGAGCTAAATCCCCAACCCCTTTTATAGTTCTTATGCAGATGAGGGAGGTATTGCACTAGCAATGCTTTGAAGAATACTGAAAAAAATGTCTGAGCTTAACACGGTATTCACATTACTAAAAAGTTACATGAAGACAGAAGTCATTAGGGGGCTTATTGTTTAAAGAGACTCTAGAGCAAAGCTGCAGGCGGCCAGAAATGTCAGAAATGTGCCCCGATCTGCCACATCGGAGCTCTAACGTTAGAATGGTGCTGGCCTTCGGCAAGGAGTGAGCTGTTCTTCATTGTCAGTTTGAGAAACTGTCTCTAGTTTGCCAGTGTTTACAGGGTACCAGACCTGCCCTTAGGAGACATGGTTACAGCAGGAAAGGACAGAGGTGGTCAACTATCTGGCCAAGTCCTTCGGGTAAAGATGTTTCCCTCTCTGAGAGAGAAGAGGCTCGTCACTTTGAAAAAGGCACAGGCTTATCATTGAAGAAGCCCCCCACCCCAAAACCAGCATAGAACATCGACTGTGTGGGAGCCATAATGACATTTATGCTTGCAAAGTGACGGCCCAGGCCCTGCCAAGGTGGCTACGAACTGCAAGGAGAGAGTTCCCCATGAGTGTCCACCTCTTCTCAGATGGGAAGGGATTTAAAAATGAACACACAGTGGA